GGGTGGGCGCAGTCCCAGACCCCCGGCGCCCTCCAGCGCCAGCCTGCCCGCCTCTCTGCGGCAGGGAGAAGGGCTCTCCGCGGCCAAACGGGCCGGACCCCCGAGGAGGCTACGCCTGGCCGGCAGCCAGGAGACAGTGCTGCTCTCAACAGTTTTACACGTCTCACTCCCTCTGTTGTCTCTGTTATTAAATTCTGTAATGTGGAGGAAACGGCCTGCTTTAAAAGATGGGACTTTGTTTCCGTGCTGTAATTTTCAAATTCCTAGTTTGATTTCCACTAACATTAGAAATACCCCAACCAAACAGGGGATTTAATGTTTTTTAAAGGAGAAATCGATTCTATGTTAAGTCAGTATTTGTGGTTGGTTGCGGTATTGTATTTGCTCCACTAACAAGCAATCTCCTCACAGTTTAGAGAGCTTCATTTCAGTTTTAAAGGACCTCAGGAAGCACAATCAATGAATAAAGGAAAATCCAAATAGAAAGCAAAAGGTGTTCTGTTTTAAACAGAACTGCAGAAAATTGAGTTTTAACAACTTGGGTCAATTGTGAATGCCAAAGATTGGCAGAAAGGCTTTAACCTTTTCTTCCTTTAAAAATGCCTCTCTAGACTGCTGTAAAATGACAAGAAAATTTCGTAACTGAATTTCCTCCGCTCTGTGGCCCCAGTCCAGGCTGCATTTGGGTCTGAATCTGACAAGGAATACTGGCAGAGCAATCCAAGCACACTTACACTGGCCAACTGTACTTACAGTTGGGGCTGGGGAGACAAAGAGGTAGAAAAAAGGGAAAGATGTGCTGGCATAATCTATATTGGATCAAACTGCAAAATGGATTTTGTGACCATGCAATTTCATCTGTTTAAATAGAAATCTTTCCCACAAAATGTTTAAGAGTACCTACTTTTCCCTAACATTCACATGTTCCCTGACAGAAACACGCTGTAGGTCTGGTAGAAACAACAACCCCCTCCCCCAGCAAATGTCCTGCAATTAATGTCTTCATAGTTAAAAATCTGCAGTTTTAAACATTGCTCAGGGCTACGTTGTGAAACTTACCATAAACACATAATCAAGAAATTAATCCCTCAGAGAGAAGAAACAGAGAAGAATGTTGGGAGTTGAATTTCTGTTTCACAGCTGCTCAGAAAGCATTTTCGAGTACAGGTGAGTGTTTGGATATGGTTGGAGAAAATCCAAAATGGCTGTCACATAGCATGTGAACAGTCGTGTGGGGGTCTGCAAAATCTAAAACTATCACGCCTCTCTTACTGGCAAAAATTACTGTATCATCTATATTTCTGGATCTCAGCCCAGGTCACCCTGCTTGGGTATATCTTGCTGTGATCCTCAATTTATCTTGCAGCTGAGTTCCCGTTCTCTCTGAGTAGCCAGCCACAAAGAGGGGTAACTGCAGTGTGAGATTCTTTCTGTTGGACTGGAAGCAAAAAACTTTTGGTCCATGATCCCTTACATAGCAAGAATGTAGTCTAAACTATTTGACTTAATGAATGGGGTGGCTTCTTAACTTGGGCAGTGAGTGACAGGAGATTTGTTGGTGTTTTCATACCTCTCTCAATTAAGAGAAAAGGCAAATGCTCAGGTACAAAAAAGACTGGAGACTCAACCTCCTTACAAACACTTACATGTGGCCACAAATCCCAGCCTTGCAGATGTCTCTGCCAAGTTAATCTGTCAGGCTGTCAGCGTTGTCCTGCGGAATGTAGATGAGGGACAGGAAACAGATGCATTATATTTTTAAAACTACTAAACCTGAACAAAATTTGATAGGACTATTAAAAAAAAAAAAAAGAAAGAAAGAAAAAGACACATGACTATCCAGATGGTTCTCATAAGCTTCGCAGCCCTGTTGAAAATTGTGGAGATATATTCTTACAAACAAACAAACTGACAGACAAATGAAAAAGACACAAGTCTCGTAATAAAAATACTGGCCAGCATAAGTAGAGGTCAGTATCTTCTCCTGCTGTAATAACATCTTGTTTTATTGTTTGTACTAAACAGCACTTGTCTAATAGCACATTAGACAGAGTCAATAAAATCCTTCCAAATCAATTTTCATATTTCTGAGCTATTTACACCCACTCTGCTGAACCATAACTTACACACAGAAGTGATGGGGACGATATAAGCTAAAGGTGATATATGGACTATTTTAACTTGTACCTTCTTCCTACTTCTTAGTATTCCCAATGTGGTTGGTTTGGTGGGCAGAAGTAGGCCTAAGACAGTTTACAGAATGGACTGGAGAAAGTATCATACAGTATAGTCTACAGTTTCACACATATCCTGACTAGGGAGTATCATTCAAAGTCTGATCTTTAAACGAAATCTGCTTGGTAAGATGCAGTTGGCTTATACCACAGTATTTTGTTCAAGTGGCTCAGAAGTAAATTGTAATTTTTCAGTTTGATGTCTAAGAGGCTGGTTATGATTTTAGACTATCCAATGACGAATATAGATGTATCTTCTGCTTGAACTGCTATGGACTGAGTATAAGTCTTTTGAACTGAAGTGAATTGTGAAATATTTAGGAAGCTATTAAATTTGACATATAAACTTCATGTCTTTGAAGTCAAGATTTCCGTGGATGTTTACTTCTAGGAGGGATTTGGAAGAATGGTGCCAGGTTAAGTGAAGCTGGCTTGGGTTTGAAGACAGACACCCAAACTGTCAGATACAGAATGTGGACCACACTCAGAGGTGTTGCCTGGACTCAGGTTTGGCTGGCTGCCTGTTGCCCAGATGCTGATCTCAGTCAGAGTTTGTGGAAAAGTTAGGTCTAGCGTAGATGAAATGCCAGGCTGGATGCTTCCTTCAAATTGGTGGCCCTTCTGCTTCCATCACCTTCCAGACTCTTTCTCTAGCTTTCTATAAGCAATGAATAACATGGGCAATTCACGTTGGACTGTGCAGGCAAAGGCCCTGGAGGGGACATGCCTGTGATAGTCTTTGGGGTTTGTCCTTGAGGGTTTTTTTTTACACTTGCAGTCTCTTGAAGGCAGGAAAGGAGCAGTCAGCAAGTCAAAGCATTTACCACAGAGCATCAGCTCACCCTGCTTTTGGAGAGGAGTCCTGATGCTGAATAGCAGCCTCAGAAGTTTCTGCTCCCGAACTGGATATGACTGCTCTTATCACATGAGGCAGATTATTGTAAACCTCAAGCTGGGTCAGTGCTGAGCCAAAAGAAGGCCTGATCTGTTAGAACTGCCTGTTGAAAATTGTCTCCAGCACACTTTGCTCTTTGCTTTTATTTTACCCAGTCCTAAGAGTTACTGTCAGCTTTGTGCAAGCCATGCAGGAGGATTTTCCACCTCCCTTTGAATGCTCATCCATGGCCTCTCTGCCAGCCTTGGGCTTGAGCCTTAGAACGGATGCTACTGAATTAGTGGCACACACCTATTTAGTCCAAAACATCCTTAACTGTCTGGAGTCCCTGGATTGCCTACGGTTCTGGCCAAATGTAGTGGTTTGAAATCAGAGGGCAACTGAGCACCACACAGCTGTTCACTCCCCCCATCCCCCCTCAGTGCTGAGAAGGGGAAAATAAGCAAAAACGCTGGTCACTCTCCCCCCCCTTCCCCATAAGTGCTGGGAAGGAGGCAAGCAAAGCACCTGGAAAACTGAGGTGACAGGGAGGGATGATGTCATCCTTTAAGACAGGCAAAAACTGGACTCGTTAGGGGAAATAAAAAAAGAACATAAATTTACTTCAGACACTAACAACAACAATGCGTAACAGACAGTGTAGGACCATGAGAAGCCTTACCATGTTGAAAACACGTCCCTCCACCCCTCCCTTCTTTGCGGGCTCAGCTTTGCTCCCAATATCTCTACCTCCTTCTCCCCGAGCAGCACAGGAAGCAGGGAAAGGGGATGTGGTCAGTCCTGCCACTTCTGCCACCTTGGAGGAGGGGTAAACTTCTGACTTTCCTCCCCTGTTCCAGCGCAGTCCACCTCTCACAGCAGACAGTCCTCCACAAACTCGCTGACATAAGTCACTCCCACGGGTGTGTGAGTTACCCCCACATGTTGCAGACTCCCAGTGCTGACCTACAACAGCGGGGCCTTCTTCCCATGTGTTCTCCGCCTTCTTCGGATGCAGTCACTTGAGTTGGCGTGGAGCCCCCCACAGGCTGTAAATTCACATCTGCTCCAGCATAGACCCCCATGGGTGGTGGCAGGGGTGGGGGGTGGGGCAGCCCTGCGATCTCACCGTGGGATACAGGGGAGTGTCTGCTCCAGTGATCCTCCACCCCTTCTCCTCCTTTCTTCCACTGACCTCGGTGTTTACACAGATGTTCTCACAACTCCCACCACTCCTCCCAGGTTCCCCTTCTTAAATAGGTTACCACAGAGGAGCAGCCACCATCATTAATTGACTCAGCCTTGGCCAGAAGTGGGTCTGACTTGGAGCCGGTGAGCTTTAAGAAGATTCTCACAGGGGGCCACTGCTGTAGCCCCCTACGCTGCTACCAAAAAACCCTTGCTACTCACTCAAACCACGACACCAAGGAGACCTGAAAACTGCTGGTTGTATCCATCAGTATCATCATACTTTCAAGAGAGCTAACGTAGGCAGGACAGTAACACACTCTTTGGCTGGGCTTGATTTACTACTTTTATATCCAAGAGTGTGCAACGTTTATAGACTCTGGCTTTTTCTTACACTTTAAAAGGGGAAACTATCTGTAACAAATCATCAAAGTCCATTTAACTATAAAACACATGCAGAGATTGTCCTTTTTGATAGGAGTTATGTTTAGGTTACACAGCTATTTTCTTTAGTATCACATCCGTCTCTGTTCTTCTGATGTGCATTTGCGGTTAGACTAGAATAGACTTGGAGGTAAAACCAGGAATTCCCAGGTTCAACGCTCTCCTTGCAAAGCTTTGTTTTATCCATCTCATGTGCAAAGGAAAAAAAATCCAGATTGAGGGGAAAAAAAAAGGTGCAGGAAACTCATTGGATCAAGTCCAATGAGTTTGAAAAAGTCCTTGAAGAATACTTCTGTTTTCAGAAAAATTGCAGAAGGCACGAATTTAGTTTATTATGTCTCAAGCCCACTGATACACTACCTTATTTTGTTATAGTTCAGTGCACGTGCATTTAATCTAAACACCATACAGGTCATAGAGGCAATTTTCCCCACTGTACTTCAATTACAGACACCTATTGTGAAAATCCTTGGGCTACTTGCCTGAGAATGCTATTTTCAGTAGCCCTCAGATTTATTTCCCCCCTTTCCTGTGGGCAAGTTAGCCAGTTGCTCAAAATTGCTGGGTAAAAGTTCTCTAGTTTTTCAATACTGCTGCAATGAAATTACTGTGAGATTTGTCTTTGAAGTCTCATTTTCTTCTGCAGTTCCACAAAAAAAAATTAAAAAATCAGAGTTGCACAAATTATAGTCTGGCTTCAGGAAGGGAAACAGAATGTAACAAGCGCTGCCTGTCTCTGCATGACCCCCCCCCAACTGTGGCTTTTTTAGCAGAGACAGGAAAAACAATGCTTCCCTATGGAATTTAAATGTGTGTGGCATGTTTCTGAGGATGTTAGAAGTTTTCACAGCATCACAATAGAATGTGATCTGTTGTAAGAGGACACTGTAACAATATAAAAAGAATATACAAGTTATTAAAATGAAAGACAGGTAACGTCTTACCTAGATTTATTCATCTCCTTTATGACCCACTCAGTGGAGAAAAATGTTTCAAGCAGTGCAAAGTAGCAGCTGTGTTTAGTGACTTATGACATAGACACTGTTTATGTCCTATATCTTTCTAATATTGACATAATGGAATTATGTGAAGATAGCCATGTAAAAGACACTAGCCACATTCAGAATTGAAATAATTCACCAATGCTTAGAATTTTACAACATCTCATTTAAAAAAAATAATGTACTTTATACAAAAATTGTGTTTTGGCTAAATGTTTTTCTCCCCATCAAATTACTGCCCAAACACAAGACTTTCTGAGGTAGCAGTGTCATTTACAGGAGAGTTGAGTGCTTCTAGATGTGTCTCTCCACTGACCACCCCTGAAGCATATGGGGGCTGAACCCTGCCTTTGCAGGGATATCACTTTGGGCATGGACAGCTGTGTAAGGGACCTGCTTTGAGAGCACAGTTTCTTGCGCAGTTCCCAGCTGCCAGTATGATACTGCAGTACTTACCCACTGCTAAACATTGGTGTTGTGATGCAGTCCACAGAAAACTGCATCACTCCTACTACAAAGTAAGAGATTTACGTATCTGTACATGTCATTGTAATAAGTGACAGTATTTTTGAAAAGCAGGTGAAGAATAAGTAAATGAATAACATTTGGAATTAAAGTCTTATGTAAATAAAAAAGTAGTAGGACTTCTTTTATTTTAGTTTATTTTTAGTTTTTTATTTATTTGCAATGTCCAAATCAGTCTAGTGCTAGAGAACTAGGAAACATTACTAGTTTGCTGAAGACAAAGAGAGAAACTTGATAAGAGAGAAAACTAGCAGTGGATTATGGGGTAATCAGAAGTGCACCTGCATGGCAGTGGGAACTTCAACAGCCTTCTAATATGTCACACAGACCTCTTTTTATTTCACTCAAATGTCTGAAGTCCCAATCATGACTCACCTTTCCAGTCAAAACATTTTCAGTAGCTGTATTTTACCAAGAAAGAAAAAGCAAAGAATAGTGACATATGCTTTGGAAAGAGAAAAAAAAAATACATTTCATTCTGAGAACTTCCTTCAGAATTTGATAAATAAAGAGAAGAAAAAAAAAAGTGATGTAATTTTGCTCATGATTCAGTCAACTTTTACTGTTGTGTTTGAACAAGTAAGGGTGGTTATGGTTGGCACTCTCCTTGCATGGAAAGCTTCTCTGTTTAGTGAGCAATTGAATTTTCTTTTCCTTTCCTTGGTGGATTTTAGGATTTATTGTTTGCAGAAGATTAGTATCAGTAATAGTAATGTGAAATAATGTAATACAGAGTAGATTACAATATAGAGAAAAATAATTCACATATATAACCTCCAGTAGAAATCTTTACAACCAGAATAAAGATTTACATTTTTTTCCCTTTTGCTTGATTTGTAAAATGTAGAGTTTTACCATTTTAGTCTTATGTTGTAAAGTAGCCTGGTAAATCCACATTTCTAAAGCCAGTTATTGGGATTATTATTCTGGAAGGTTACTGGGGCTTGGCATCACTACTTATGAATAGGGACAGTAGTTGCTGTAATGAAATTTTGTCAGTAAGATTGTAGAGGGGATCCATACCACATGCTGCTTGTTATAAACTTGATGTGTTATATCTTCTTCTGGATGTCATTCCCCTGGAAAGCATGCACAAACATGCCAACCTCTCCAAGGGAGGTAACCTTGTCTCCATTGTATTAGAGCCCCAAAGAAATCACTTTAAAGAGATTGTGTCTGAAACCAAGCACATTTTATGCCTCTCAGAGTGTCACACACAGAGTGCACAGAGTGCAACTCATCAGTATACTTATAGTCCTGCTCTTGAGCTCAAGACACTGATAACTGCACAGCTGACTGCCATTTTCCTGCAAGGTAAATTTTAAATAAAACCAGAACATAAGAGCTATTCAGATTAAGACATAGGTATGACAGCTGGAGGACCCCTGGCATTGAAGACTGCTAAGATCAGTATTAGGGTGCGCCTACAGTGTGCCTTTAAATGGAAGAGGAAGGGAGAAAACAAAATGTTTTTCCTTCCTTGCGACTTCACCCTTCTTTTCCAGAGGAAGCAGGTAAAAAAGCAAAAGAGGCATCATGTCAGAGGAAGTCTGAATTAAAAATCTAAAAGGGTCTACTTCTGTTGTATATTGAAACTGTAATTTGAAAATTAAAAATATGTATTTAATTCAGCCATTTTTAAAAAAGTATTTTCATAACTTTAAAAAAATACCAGCTCCTTCTAATCAAGATATTAATTCATCACAAGCAGAGTAGGAGTCTGGGTCCTTGTTGCTGAATGGTGTTTGACTGTGCTGTGGTGCCAGTTAGATGCTCGTCAGAAGGCAGGCAGAAGGGTGTAAGACCTGCAGCAGTTTCAGTACAAAAACGGCTTTGACTTGAACTTACTTGAAAACCTAAAAGACTGATAAAAAGAGTGTTGTTCCTGAAGCCTAAAGATAACCTTGTGATCAGAATCATAAGGCACAGCAAGTCATATTTAATACTTTGATGCCAGTGATGGCCAGGACGGTCCATGCAGCCTTCTTCCTTTCCTTCTAGAAAACAGAAAAATTGACAGGAATCACAATTCCTCTGGCTTTTGTTTGGTTTTGTTTGTTTTTCAATGCATACTAGAGCAGCAGGAAGAAATAAAGGAGAATATCAGCACTTAATCCCTGTCCCCAACCAGACAAAAGTTTAATAAAAAATGTATTGCAGCAGGATGAAATTCAGAAGTTAAACAAGCCTGGGATATAGTCAGTCTCTGGAAGAAGGAAGAATGAGGAGGTGTAGGGAATTGCCCTGCTGCACTCAGCACCAGCATTAGAAGAAGTACGCATCAGTTATCAGACACATCATTCATGATGGCATTTTTAAAAATCAGATATAATTAATTTTTAAAAAAACCTTTGGACAGTGTCCTTCTATTATTGGTTTTATATGTTAAAGATATAAATTAACAAAAATTGGGAAGTTAATCCTAGTGTGCGTGACAGCTCCCAATAGTGATGCTCGAGGCAAAATGCCTGTGGCTCAGTCCAGTTGTAGATAGACACATTTGCATACAGTAAGATGTATTGATGTGTTATATCTTCACATCAGCACATCAACACATACAATTTGATGAGAAGCCCCAGGGGGCAAGATGGAGTAGGACACACTGGAAAAAAGGATCGAGTCCTTTCCCTGGAGCAAGATCTTTCATTTTAACATTTATGACCATCATGAGTGGCAGAAGATTTAAAACCAGGAGGAAGGCTGCTCTTACTCTGTTGCTAAATGTTAGGGAAGGAATTATTCAGATGCAGTGCCCAGTCTTCAGTCAAGAGAGAGTCACATAGTTTAGTTAAGTGCCAAACAAAGACTGGGAACTGGACTATCTGTCTGCACTTAGCCAGGATCCTGTGGCTCTTCAGGTTCTTTTCTTTCTACTTGTCAGTCTCATCCTGGTAACCTGTTTTACACAGCTATTTCTACCAACAGACCTGGACTACCTCTCAATCATTGTGTCGGTGAAGAGGAATCATTGTAAAATCATCCATCTATATGCATTTCAGATTGCTGTGTATGGCAGTTGTTATAGATGTTCATGCTTCGGTTCTGTGGGTGTGATATCCTGCAGGTTAGAATACATCCCTTAGAGATGAATGGTTTGTATCTGGAGCTGGATCCAGTTAGTCTTTTCCACTTATCCCAGTTTTGATG